TGATTGGTTAATAAATAAAACCTGATCGGCCGTGGCTAGGCAGGATAAAAGGACAGAAAGGCAGAAGGAGATGCTGCAGCCCCTGCAATGACCAGAGAGGCTGCAGCCGCCGCCATGACCAGAGACACTGCAGCCGCTGCCATGACCAGCAGCATGTGAAGACGCCAGTAAGCCACCAGCCACATGGCAAGGTACAGATGTATGGAAATGGATCAATTTGAGATAAAAGCACAGTTAGCAAGATAAGGACAGTTGGCAAGAGGCCTGCCACGGCCATACAGTTTGCAAGCAATATAAGTGTCTGTGTTTATTTGGTTGGGTCTGAGCGGCTGTGGGACTGGCGGGTGACAGAGGTTTGTCCTGACAGGGGCAAGGTGGAAAAATCAAGCTACACTGGAGAGCTCAAGCGAAGAGTTTGTAGAGAAGTGCCTTTACCTGGAGCTCAGAATCTGTGGCATTAGCTTAAAGGCAGCGGGTGGGTGGGGGTGGAAAAATCTAGACAAGAAGACAATGTGTTTAAAGAAACTGAGGAAAGAAAAAAATGAGCATTTCAGACACAGAGGCAAAGCTAGTTTTGATGCAAGGCAGAGAAGAACAGCTTTCTCTTGAGCTGGCAAGGCAGAGAGATCTACTAGGCACCTCTTGTGGGTTAGTACTGGACCATAGCCCCCAGCTAATCTGAAATTGGCCTCTGCAGTTCCCGGGCATGCACTCCCATGGCTCTGACCCATTCCAACAGGATTTATTTTTTCTGAAAGATCTGTTGATACACATTGGCTTCCTTTCTAAAACAAATGGGTAGCAGGAACAAAATCCAAAACTGATCTCATGGTACTTAACTGCTGCCTATGAACCCAAGGAGACACCTTGGGCTTTGGAATAGGCTGAATTATATTCTCCCAAATTGAGGTTCTGATCTCAGACTGTGACCGTATTTAGAAACCGTTAGGGTCAAGGTCACACTGGCAGAGGACAGACAGCTAATCTATATGACAGTGTCCTTAAAATGAGAAATGTGTATACACACACAGAGGATGCCAGATGAAGATTGGTTTTATCACATAGCAAGAAACTACAGAATCTTAGAAAGAAGCCTGAAACAGACCATTAACCTTCAATAATCCTAACTGTTTGTAACATAGAAAACCTCTCTCCAAAGTTTTGAATGAATATAGGCCTCCCTCAAATAGAATTAGAAAATTTGATTCTGAGATGTATATATTTTAAATGCTACTCAATATAAAACATAAGTAATCCAAGTATCTGAGAGAGATTTTTGTAACTCATAAAATGCTTGAGGTTGAATATTTTGTAAAAGAAAAAATTCACTACACTTTCTGTGGTTGGAAAGTTCAACCAGTAGGATACTGGTGTCTATTAATTGAGCTTCTGATTGTGTCATAGCATGGGACATAAGCAGAAAGGGAAATAACCCAGTGCAGAAGGGACCAACATGTAAAATGTCCTTACTTAATAATGGCCCTTTTGGCTAAGTCTGATAGCCCAGGCCTTAGGCTGAGGTGGAAGAATCATGAGTTCAAGGCCAGCCTGGATTACATGAGATCCTATCTCAAAAAGTAAACTAAAATAATAAATAAGCAAAAAGAAGTCTAGGGATAGAATTCATTGCCAGAGCCCTTTACTATCATGAGTGAGGTCTTACAGGTATAATCCCTAAGCACCTAAAAATTAAAAAAAAAAAAAAAAGGCAAGCTTGTTTTAGGAGAACTGATTGAGGCACACAAGAGTTACTCACCTTCAGAAAATGATAATCAATCCCTTCAAAGTAATGGCAGGGTCAGGGCCACCATGATTTACTCATCTCCCATTAGACCTTCATGTCTTGTCTCCACTACCTCAGGAAAAAAAAATATTTAACAACCATGCAACACACAATAGATATTTGCCTTTCCTATAAGAAGTTGAGTCCTACTACTAACTTTGATGGAAGAAAGTGGAGATAATAACATACATTTGCTTCGAAGCAAGACTGAAGTGCCTGTCATCATTCAGACCTGGGCAGTAATCTGCTACTTTGCTCCATGTCTGTATCTGAAACACAGAAAATGTTTTCGATGGACATCTCATGAGGAGCTCTCCCACGAGCCCTACCATCTTCTGTCCACACCCTGAATAGCAATCACTTCCCCTTGGTTGTACACGGGCCTTAGTAAGGCACTTTTAAGAAATATGGTGGGACAAAAGTAATGTTATATTGCTTCTAATAGTGTAATATAAAAAGTCCACTGCTCCGCCTCGGACACTCCTGCTCAGTGTCTTGTTCTTCCTTGCTTGAACTGCTTTGGAGGTGACAGCGGTCACACTGTGAGGCAGTCCTGTGAAAAGGCCATGTGAGTGGTGCTGGAGGTGGACCTTTTGAGGATTGCTAAGTCTTCTCTAAGTGAGACTATGGCTCTGCCTGGCAGCTGGACCCACCACCATAAGTGACCTCCAGCTAGTTATCCAGCCAAGTCACTTTCAGATTCCTATCCCACAGAAACTATGTGAGGTGATAAATATTTTTTAGCTTCAGCCACTAAGCTAATTTGTTAAAGGTTGATAAACAAGCATTATAACATTATATTCACCCATTTTTCTTTCTGTGTAAAATTTTGGTCTAATTTTATTTTGGGGATTGGAATTGGGATTGTTAATTGTATTGAATTTGATCTTCTGAGGAAAAAAATACATCATAACATTGTTTTTTTTTGGGGGGGGAGGGCTGTGGAGATTTCCATAATCAACTTTAGTAAACTACTACACCCATTGTGTTTCTGTGATACATGTAAATTTATTTTTTTTAAATCTTGGTGAAATTCCTAATAATGAAAACTAATATAATATAAAGTACCAAGTAGGTGTAGGCCTGACATCAGGCCTAGATACACGTATCATAAAATGCCAAGAATTTCATGTGTTTGAAAACACCTTATGTGGTTCATTCCATTTCTCATTGATCCATGTAGAAGCGGCTGCCGAGCCCCTATTACGGCCAACCCTACACTAGGAACGAGGGTATCAATCAACTAGTGTTCATCTTGCCCTCCCAAACTTAGGTCTAACAGGGAGGACATGCCAATAACCATTTTGATAGATAGCAATAAGTGATGGAAATAGCAGTTGGCTCTGGGTACGATTAGTACCAAGGAGGAGCTCAGAAGGATGAGGAAGGGTTTCCCTATGAACCCTTTAGAAGGATAAGCAGGATTTAGTCAAATATAAAAAAGCTTGACGGAAGTGCCTCAAGTAGATGGTAAATACATGCCAAAGGATAGAGGTGAAAAGGAGTTCAAAACTGTGGGGCACTTGCAACTTAGAGTTGTGAGGGAATGCCAGGCGTACAGCAGTCAGATATGACGCTGGGGACAGAAGAGATCGATTGTCACAGGACAGCTGAGCCCATGAAGAATCACAGTAGTTCCCAGCAGACCAATTACATTAGAATCACCTGAAGCAGAAAAGTCATAGATCCCCACATCCCATCAACGACCGACTAAGTCACACGCTGGGGCTGGGGATTTCCCATTCTACTAGGCACCCAGTGTTTGTGAAACTTATCTTACTGTGTGGACCATTTTAAGGGAAAAGCAAAATGCGATTGACTGCAACTAGTATGAAATAAAAAAAAAAAATTGGAAGGCTGCGAAATTTAAATGTAATAACATTAATTTAAGGTGTGGGATGATGTTCCTTGCTGGGCAAAGCCCCTGCTCCCACCTGCTGCTAGAGAGTTATGCTCTCAGCGTCCAGTCTGTCTACACTGGACTTCACATGGCAACTTGGCTCATCTGCTATTTTCCCCCCTCCCATAAACAGCTGTGAATTCTAATGTATATGGCCCATTTGATGTTATTTGACCTTCACTTAAGAATTTCGAGGGTGTTAAGTCCATGTACTCCTTAGGATTGGGTTCAGATGAAGTGACAGAAAGTCCAAACGACATGGTTATGCAGAAGAGATGTTATGACTGTCTCATAGGAGGTGGGAACGACGACATGGTCTGTTGTAGCCCACACCATGTCGGGCATTCGGGACCCTCGTATGCTTTCTTACTCCTGTGCCTAACTGGACTTCTACATGTCAAATTGCTCATGAAATAAGAAGGCCCGACAGTCTACAAAAGCATGAGATTGTGTTTGTGCTTTTTTTTTTTTTTTTTTTAAAGCATCCTTTCTCTAAGGACACTCTCCAGAGACTGCACAGGTCACTTTTGTTTATTTTTTTAAATCTATTTTTCTGTTTGTTTTTTGTTTTTGTTTTTGTTTGGTTTTAGACACGTTTTCATGTAATCCAGGCCAACAGCACACTCTTGATTCTCTGGCCTGCCAGTGCTTGGACTTCATATAGACATGTGTCACAACATCCAGCAAGCCACGTTTATGTATGACTCTGACCACATTAAGCTGCAAGAAATGCTGGGAATTGCAGTCTCCATCCTGAGAAAGTGAATGTCAAAGTATAGGCAGATTATTTATTCCATTCTTTTATTTTGTCATTAGAGCCCACAACACACACATACATAGACACACAAACACAGAGACTTACACACACATACATAGACTCACAGACACATACCACACACATAGACACACACACTAACACAGACGGACAGACAGACAAACACAAACACACACACACACACACACACACACACACACACACACACACACACAAAATACTGTTCTATGATGTCATAAACATAGGATGAACAGGGATATTGAACAGGGTGGTCATGGCATTGCAATCGTTCAAGACACTCCTGCTTTCACTGTCTTAGATTGTCAGGGACAAGGACAGAATCTCTAGTTAGTGGAAAAATACAGACCCCCGATAAGACAGGGAACTAGATCTTAAAATCAGGTTGCCTAGCAACAGGACATTGAGTCAGAGCCCTTGACCCTTTCACCCTGTAAACATCCTATACAAACATCCTGTTAGCTTGCCCCACCTTATGCAGATGATAGCTTCTTGCTCCCCCGACCCTGCAGGAACTATATAAACCCTTCTGGAGAAAATAAAGTTGCACCTTGATCAGAATCTACACTTGGTGTATTTTCCTTTGTATCTCCTGTCCCTACATTCCCTCCTTAGGGTGGTCGAGAACTCGTTGTAGCCCTGCAGGTGGGGCATTAGATAATTATGAGAGTGAAAACAAAAAAAAAAAAAGATGTTTTTCATTGAATCAAGGGAGCCGTGAAAAACCAGACCCCAGTTCGAGCAAACCTGTGAAAGTGAGCACACAGCATACTCCAATTTGGAAAACAATGATGCAAAGTGTAGAGTCGTCATGCAACTTCTAAGGATGTGCATATTAATAATAATATTGGTTCTCAAAGTGAGAGAGGCTATGCTAAAATCTCGAAGAGTCTTTTTGGCGATATAATCAGCAGAAAGTGAAGTTTGCTAAGTTCTTTGTGGGATGGAGCAGAAAGAAAGGAGAGAAAACATTCTAGGAAGTATGAATTAAACTGTCTGACAAATCCTACTTCAGAAAGGCTGTGCCAGCAGAACCGTAAGGAGGCACTTAACTATGAAATCTGAGCATGGAGTTCAACATCACTGAAGACTCTGTGAAGGGAAAGATGAATTCAGGGCCTGAGCTAGGAACTGGAGGAGCCAAGCTGGGTTGATTTCTGTTTCCAGGCTCGGACCACAAAGATGCAATTGGTCTTGCGATTGGCCAAGTCGGTGAACTCCCCGGGAGCTCCAGGTCTCACCTGCTCTTCACTCCTTTCCTTTAATTTTTGCCGTGAAGTCACACACTGTTCTACATTCTAAGGAGAGTGTGAGAGCGGAATAAATGTGATGCCTGCTCTGTTTTTGCTAACCCTTTAGAGATGGAGAAAAATGCATGAGTCCATAATGATTGGATTATCAATTGTGCTAAATTGGGCTGCAAATTGTAGCAAAGAGAATGAAGGGGGACACCAGAATGTGATGTGTAAGATTATAACAGGATTTGTATGTACTACTGGAGGGAAAGGTTTTCATTTTAGACTTTTTAATAAGTCTGGTATGTCCCCTTAGAAAAGTGGCTGCAATACAATTGTGTAATGAGAAAGGACTGCGGAGAAGCTGGCATTACAGTTAAGGATTTGGAGTTCATCAGCATATAATTGTTAGCTACAACCATGAGCCTCCATTTTTCCACAAAAAGAAAATGTGTAAAGTTACCAAATTGTTAATTATCCAGGGTGCTTTTTGAGGCAGATTCTCAGGGCATCTACACCGATTAATTTTATTTCAAAAAAGAAAAATCTGTTACATTTAACATCAGGACAGGATTTAAAAATAATTTCAAGTATTTTTTTAGATCATAATATTAATAACCTTAAAAATTATCCCTAATGGGTCTAGTGTGCTTTTAGAGGTTCTGCTCAGAAACTGTGTGAGACGGAGGCCACGGTTGGTCTTAATGCTCACTGAGCACTGCATGTTACAATGACTGTCCATTTCAGAGATGGGCTTTAGCACTTTCTGTAGTCTGCAGGTTGACTAATTTGCATCTTTCAATTCATTTTCGTCTCCGTGAAATGGCAATAAGCCTTGCATGTGTACAGTAGGGGGGAAGCGCATAAAGCGTGCAATGTATCGTGTGTGACTGCAGAAAAAGACGGGGCTTCCGGAAGCAGGACTCTTTTATTACCCTGAGACTCACTGGTGGGCTGTAGGAGTCGGTAATGCTCATGAAAATGGGATCTTTTGGGATAGAATGATCAATTGTGTGATACTCTTCAGTTAACACTGCTGTTTCTCTCCGGTGTGCAATACAGAAAGGTATTTTTTATTTTTCCTGTGTTGGATTGCAAGGACAAGGGAAAGAAAAAGTGTGGAAATACCAAAAAGAAAAAAAAGCAAGCAATTTTAAATATTATTTCTGCACAGAAACTCAAAATTCTGGAATTACCCAAGATCCCATTAGGCTTTCTGACACTTTCTAATACTAAGAAATGTAATCACTTACCAATTAAAATGACTAATATTTATGTTATATTGCATCATTTTAATATGCAAGTGTTTTTAAATTTTCCCAGTTACTTGGGTTCAGTTGATAAG